GCTAATACAGAGTTTGCAATAGCTTCAAAGTTTGCGCAAAGGTTTCCCGGGCCATTCGATTATTGGATGATAAATCCTCGGATTCGGATATGTTCCCCGGTGTTTACAGAAAAACTAATAACGGCATCGTGTTCAGCAGGTCAAAATCTTATAAAAATGATGTGTTTTGTTCGTTCCCCACGATGGGCCAAAATCGGCACTTTTTACTTATTGTTCTTTCCTGGTTCGCGTTATCTCGCGGAATGGTGACGTCAACTGGCTCAAGATCTTGCGACTTGACGCATTTGGACTCTTTTTGGAATTTTGGATTTTTGGAATTATTTAAAGAAGCAAATTTACACTGACAATCTTGAAACTGCGGAGTGCTTCAAGGAGAATATTCGATGAAAAATTGACGAAATTTAACCTTTTATGTTGCAAAAAATTATTGAAAACTTTATTAAATAAGTAGTAATTTGTAAAAAAGTAGAGGCGGTCATTTATATGATGTTGTTTCTCATACGTAATTCCTATTCCTAACGAACACATTGATGTAATAAAAATGATAATTTACAGGTAATTTCGTTTTTTCATTTACAAAACAAATCTTGCATCTCTAGTTGGATCACCCTGTACATCTCGCCGCATCGCATCTAAGTTCGCATTGATATAATCGCAAAATATTCACGATTACAATTATGAAGTCATTTTATGAAACAGTAGAAATAATTCATACTGAAACTGTAAAAAGTTCTGTGAAAAAAAAAATCGAAAGATCTTTTGATCTTTTTTATCGAGGTCTTTCGATCTTTTTCATCGCAGAATTTTTTAATATGAACTATTTCTGCTGTCTCATAAAATTACCTCATTGTTCGCGATTACAATTATAAAGTCATTTTATAAGACAGCAAAAATAGCTCATATTAAAATTGTTTTATGATAAAAGAATCGAAAGAAAAAAAGGCATAGAATCCTATATGGGATCTACATTTATTGAATCATTTTCTTTTATATTCTGGGAAAGCTATTAGAAATCTGATGTAACTAGTGTAACATTAACGATAAGAGAAACTCAAAGTTCTCTATCGTATAATTATGAAAAGAAACTCGTTGTAAAAAAGAAGATCGTTGTCAATCGTGCTCTTAGGGTACTTGACATAAAACTGATCACTAGATATGATTACGGCGTGTCGTAATTTATTGTGAAGTTATTAAAGAGTGAGTATATTTTTCTATCGTATAATTACAAAGAACGTAAAACATCATAATTATATTTAAATATTTCGCGCATTTCTTTAATTCTTTAATAAAATACTTACGACAAAAGAACATAAAAAATCAACCACAAATTTACGATAGGTTTCCGTTAAGCAGAAGTCTATAAGTTAATCTAAGTTCCCATTTGGGTTTGGAAATTATAGCTTTTCCTTGCCACGAAATAATCTTATTTCGGAAACATATAAGTGGAGAGTTAACTCAAGCAGAATACCAGGTGCTGTAATTGTTGTTTTGCAGCTAAAGATATCTGCAAAACAGAAAACGTAAACACCAAGTAACATGCCATCAATATTATAATTTTCCACTTAACGATATAACTGTTATACAGGGTGCCCCATTTTAAATGAGCTTAGCAAAAATTTCGAAAAATATGAAAGAGACTAAGAAACGTTTCAGACAAAAGTTGTATGATTTCAAAGAGGACATAAAATAGCTATATCATTTTGTTTACACATGGCATCATTTTCGAGATATTCACCGATCATTATTTTTCTTAAATAGAAATTCTAATTTTTATTATATCATCTTTTTCTATCAATTAATATGAACAACTTTTGTGTGTAACATTTTTTTATTTGCCTAATATTTTTTGAGATATTTGAGAAGAAACTTGATAGCTTTTTCAATATTTAACTTACGATATCTCGCTATTTGTCGGAAAAAAGTGGTATGAAATTTTTTTACTCTATTTGGTCTCAAGAATATATTGTTACAATAGTGTCCTGACTTTTGTTAATTTGTTGATTTTGAAATTTTCAAAGGTCGATAAGTCCTGTAATGAAAAAAAAATCGAAAGATTTTTCGATATTTTTTTTTAATGGAAAACTTTTTACAGTTTCAATATGAGCTATTTCCGCCGTTTCATAATTGCAATTGCGAATATTTATTGCGGCTATATCAATGTGAGTTTAAGCTCACATGGTGCAGCCAGACGTAAGAGCGGCGAGGTAAGCACATGTGCAACGTTTTCCCTTTGCTACACGCCGGCAACAGTTGCTCGAACAAATGGGACATGGTATAATCTGAGAACGGCTCAAATGCTCCTCTCCTACCACTTCGACACATGCTCATTTATCTGACTTTTATATAATTAATTGATAATTATTGTGAATATCGCAAAATGGTATGGAACTTTTTCGTTTGTTTTAATCCGTTTTATATTTGTAGCATGATTGTTTCAAAATACTCTTTATGTATGTATGTGGTGTGACTTACTTTGTTCAACAAAAGCTTTAACCTTTAGAGGACCGCAGTTGTTTTCTTCGATTTTTTCATTTTAAATATTAGAACTTTATTATTAACATCATTGGGTTGAATGACGAAAAAGATGGCGTCATTTTCGCGTCAATATATTGGCTTCGGGTCCGGAAAAAAAATCAGGATTCTTTTTTATTTAGTTTTTCAACTTAATGTTATTAGATATTATTAGAATAATTGCTTAACATCATTTTAGAGAAAAAGTTTGACAAATAACATGTATAAAAATTTTTATACCGCAATTTATGAAGTAGAAGGCAATCAAAATGCATCATATGTATTTATATACAACAATTTATTTCGCAGTAAATGTATACTTTGTCGAAAATATAAAAAAAAGTAATTGAAAAAATAAGAGGACTAATGCTTTTACAATACATTTAGTAATTTTTCTTAGTGTGGTACAGTTTGAAGCACGGTATAACGCAAATAAGTGCATCGCCTTCACCGCAAATGAATAACAACAAATATAACAATAAGTATTATCGGCTCGACAGTCATATCACACACAGAGAGCGTTTGCTCGATCCTGTTTACAAATCGAAACTGGTACAATACAAAGTATAACGTATAAGCGAATATGAAATATAAAAGTAGAATATTAATAAATTAGAATATGCTATAATAGTAAGTTAAAACCTGATAAATTGGTTTTCGGGCCTCCAAAGGCAAAAGCAGTTAAAAGCCAATAAATTGGTTTCCAGTCCTCCAAAGGTTAAAATACATGAGTGGATCGAATATAAATCGACTCTTCTTACCTATGACCTTACCTATGAGTGAAGATTTGCGAGCAAGATAAGGCAGCTAGTGTGTTGTGGTAGGGGGTGACGTTTCGCACCACGCTGCCGCGCCGGCACGTGCTCAGATTTGCTTTGCCAGTCGTTTTCACGATGACTGACAAGTAACCTTTACCAAGTTATAAGCCGATTATTTTTTGAAATTTGATATAGAAGCCCAAAAAAAGATAAAATGTGAAAAAAAAGTTTCTCAATATTGTGGAGAACATTTATGAGAATGCAAGTTAAAAAGGTATAAAGAAGGTATGGTGCCATATCTTGCAAACAAAGATTTTTAGGAGAAACTTTTGAAACAAAAATTGTTTCAAAAGCCACGTAAGACGACGATCTTTGTATCACCTTGAGAGTCTCTTTCAAAATCATAATAAAGTCACGATAGAAATTTTTCGATAAAATTGCAAGATTTTATAATAGTAACTGTAATTTATAATAGTAACTGTCATAATTCTATATGAAAAAATAAGTAAATACCCACACACACATCTTGAAATATAAGTAGATAATAGAATATCCAATAGCAACTTTCCACACTACCCTAGAGATTTTGCTATTGAGTATTTTATTATCTTTGATATAGAATATTCTTATATTTCAAGATGTGTGTGTGTGTGTGTGTGTATTTATTGTAGGTAAGTAATACTTACTTTTTTCATACCGAATTATGACATAAATCAATTACTATTATAAAATCTTGCAATTTTATCGAAAAAATTTGTGTAGTGACCTTATCATGATTTTGAAAGAGACTCTCAAGATCAAACAAAGATCGTCTTACGTGTCTGTTTTAAAACTTGACTATGTTACTTTTGCATTATGTTTGCTTAGATCAACTATGAACACTACGAAGCAGTCAACAAGATTTGAAAGATTTGAAAGTTCCGATTGGTTGGTTTTTGTCATCACATTATTGTGCATGGAAACACATCGGTAGCGATACTTTCTTATTCCTTATTTTTGTTTCCTGTTCTTATTGTTTGTTACCTATCATTATGCAAGGATTTTAAGCGTCCAAAGCGAACGCATCCCCATGATGTTCGAGTGCGCTCGTGCTTATGCTGCGAGAACTGCGACGGATCTGCTGAAGAAACTCGAGTCACTTGCTCGAGTGGCTCCACCAAGATTGATAAAAATTATGTTTAAAATAAAAAAAAAAAAAACAAAACATCATGTTTTTTTCCTTAAAACTATTTTTAGGTTTTAAATATGTTTTCAAATAAGCGCAAAAAGTCTTATTTAAAATATGAAAAATGTGAAAAATATATTCAAAATAAAGTTTAAAATATGGAAAATATCTTTTAAACACATTTTGAACGTATATTTTTTAATTTTTAGTATATTTTGAATATTTGACTTTTGATACGGTTTAGAGTGTAGTCAGTGGTTTAATAAGAAAACTTTAATCGTACAATAATGTAATTCAATAATTTTCCAAAATCTATATTAAACATATGAAGAGAAAAAAAGCACATGTTAAAAAAACATATGTTTAAATCTCTCGAGTGTTTAAAATGTTTAAAACTTTTTTAAAACATTTTAAAACATGTTTAAAATTTTTTCAAAACATTTTAAAACATGTTTTAAACAAAAATTTTAAAACATGCCAAGCCTGTTTGAGGCACCGGCGTCGGGGCGGCATACGTGCCGAATACGTTTTCCTCTCGCATTTCCGCCGAATCAACGAATACTTACAGTTATTGGACGTGGATATTTTGCTGGGAATATATAATTGTTGGCTCAACAGGCCGTTGGTTAAAGCTTCCAAATTGTATTCCTCCGCGGTCGCCAGAGCTTTCACGTCCCATGTCTGATGAAAGAAATTTCTCTTTGTATAGGGTAGTTTACACGATGCTGCTTTCATTCGTCTTGAGCATGCTTCTTAATTTGCCAGCGAATTCGCTGGCAAAAACTTCTAGACAATAGGTTTTTATTCGTTAGTATTTGAAATTTCAAATTCGTTGATGAAAACTTCTGGACGCTCGATTTTTATCCGCTAGCGCAGAGCTTGGCAAACTTTACAACTTTCGGCCAATTTTCGGAAGCGCTACGCCTTCTATCTCCTCTTACCGCGCGGCGGATCCAGCAACTGACGGTCGCGCCTCGCGATCTCAAGACCGTTGAGATCATAAGGCGCATCTATGTGGTGCCTAAAGATGCGTTCGAGGAGCGCATCGATCAACGCTAAGGCGTCATTCAATCCTTGTACATGTAATGAGCGATAAAGATAGAATAACGTGTTAACGTTGACAACGCGCTCCTTTAACACACCTCAAAGGCTGAAAAATAAATGTATCAATACGACTATATGTATAATATTTCGTACAAATATGTACAAATATATACTTATATAAGTATATATATATTTTTTTTTCTTATATTTTTATAATTAGAAGGTAACATGATAGGTTTCCTCGTCACCCATGAGGTACTATTGCCGACGTTATTGCGTTTTATTTTTTAAACCACATAGATGCGCCTTATGATTTCAACGGTCCTGAGGTCGCGAGCCGCGACCGTCAGTTGCTGGATCCGCCGCGCGGTAAGGGTAGATAGAAGGCGTAGCTTCCGAAAATCGGCCGAAAGTTGCAAAGTTTGCCGAGCTCTGCGCTAGCGTTTACAATCTAAAAGACGAGGCGTCTAATGGTCAAAGTTGAGCACGTCCAATTTTGCCACAGCGATCAGTAGACGTTGCATTTTTTAAATTTTCGAACTAGCGAGTAAAATTCCAGTGTCTAGAAGAAATTTTAGTAAATATGCAGAAATGGTATCAACTCCGATTTCTCTGATCTTCATATATGTTATCGAGGATATATTCCAGATTGGGGAGGGAATACGGGAGTTTGGGGAGGGAATACGGGAGTAGTTCCCCCGACTCCCCTCCTTACGGTCCGACAGGAGTCCCGCAGGGGTTTTAGTCGGTAAGAGTCCGACATAACCCCCTCCCCCCCAAGGGGAGGGGGTATCCATGATGGATTTCCCCTGCGTGACAAAAAAAAAGGATATATTCCAGAATAACTTCTTGCAAGTTTTAAGTGGCGATCACCTTTTATAAAAGAGTTACGAACAAAAGAAGTTTGAGAAAATAAACAACTTTGTGAGCAGCAAGTAGAGTATATTTCTTAAACCTTTCGCCTTGTTTATAACTCTTTCATAAAGGGTGGTCGCCACCTAAAATTTGCAGGTTATTCTGAAATACAATACATATGAGCGGTAGAGGAGGTCCGCTCCTCTTCCGCAACCCGTTCTCACAAAAATCTTAATCTAATCTAACTTATTGCATCGGAAGAAAAAGTGGTACTAGACTTTTTTACTTTATTTGGTCTCAAGAATATATTGTTACAATAGCGTCCTGACTTTTGAAAATTTCAAAATCGTCAAAATAATTAATCTCTAAACAAACTGATATAGTTGTTTTATGTCCCCCTTGAAACCATACAACTTTTGTTCGAAAATTTTTTTCTATAATGTTTGGTTTTCGAGATATCTTGCTGATCCGGGACTTTTGAACACCCTGTATATTGTTGGGTGCTATTGAAAAAATCCCCTTAAAATCCATAGCACCTAACTATATGCAAAAATATAATAAGTTAGGCTAGGTAATAGATCTTAAGAGAACTTTTTTCACCTCTCCTGTTTATATTTTTAATATTCACTACACTTTGATATTTTTTAATGTACATTGTGTCAGAAAAATATATTCTATTTATAAAACTTCCTTTTCCAATAACTTTGAAATAACCAATGAGCAATTGTTAATATTTGTTCATCTTCCTAAGATTATATTTATTGCACGGTGTTAACACTAAAAGGACCGGATTTGACGATTCCTCTAGAAGAACCATAGGAGCTAAACATATTTTTTTGTAAATAACAAATAGAAAGACACGAAACGTGTAGGTAATTATAAAATTTAACATTTTAACAGTATCACTAATTTATTGAACAAAAAAAAACTGTTAGTTATATTATATTGAATTCTTTTAGTCTTTTTAGTCTTTTTTTAGTTTTTGGTGAAAGATTAAACATGAAAGATAAAGCCGTTATGTACTATAGGAAACGCATTTGTACATAATTTTCTTTGTACATAATTTTCTTTGTACATTTACCACACAAATTTTTTACACAAACATTTTCCAGCTTTATGGCTTTTTTTTGCAGTTTTTATTTGACAAAATGGTCGTTTGCCTCAAGCATCGTCGGATTCAGTTTTTTTCTGGTTGAATCAAAATTTTGAGACTTTCGTCTTTGGGCAATATATGGAGTACTCAACTCTTCCGCGAGATTTTGTAAAAAGATTCTTTTTGATATTTTTTTACACATAACTTCCTTGTATATAATCCATGCATTTATAGCCGTAAAATCTAAAATATTATAAAAAGTATGAACGGGCCAATGGCGAGATACTATATATGCATATCTATGTGTATATATGTACTCGTTTTTCAAACGAACAAATAGATATACACATAAAAATATTTATTTATCTATTTAAAGTCATAAAACTTGTAATAAACCCGTGAAACATATGAGAATGCAATATCAGATATAAGGGAGCCGAATTGGCTTCAACGGTCCTTCTAGGTAGATAATTAAATAAAAATTCAACCATCTTATATAAATGAAAAGTTTTTTCATCAAAATTATGAACATGAAAAATGAAGAAAAGTCACAAAAAGATATCACGTGGAGGTAAAGTTGAAAAAAGTTGTAGCAATTTGGACTTCGCGAGGAGCCAAATTCGCTGCCTCGGTCTTTCTAGTGTTGAAGACTCACAATACCACGGACTGTCGCACACAGGTATGCTTATTTCCTCAAACTTCTTTTGTTCGTAATTCTTTTATAAAACCGCCAGCTAAAACTTGCAGAAGGTTACTCTGAAACATGTCCTTGATAACATATGTGAAGATCAGAGAAATCGGAGCTGATGTCAGTTCTGTCTATACAGTGAAAACTTTGCCAGCGAATTCTAAATTTTGGACGCTGGCGAATAAAAATCGAGCGTCTAGAGGAAGTTTCTACTAGCAACTTCTGGCGAATTAAGAAGTTTGTTCAAAGCGAATAAAAGCAACACCGTATAAATTAGCCTTAACGCGCGCGTCTGCTCGCGACATTCCGGACGTGTGAAAAATCGCTCATTGTCCTTGTTCTTTGTTGCGCGACCGCGAAACACCGGCGAGGCGCATGGCCACGGGAACGAGCGCCTTGAAATGTTTTTGCATTTACGATGAAATGCAATGTCAATTGTGTGCGGTATGCGAGCAAGCGGAACCTCGAAGATTGACCTCGAGTGCACGAAGCGCGACAAAAGCAGTCTACTAGGTCCGTTCCTTTTCGAAGGACTTCTGAACTAGTGCAGTAAGTTGGACCGAAGTATTTTTCTCTCTTATTTTCCAATTTATTACACTAATTAAAAAATTCTTCAAAAAAGAACAGACCCACCGTAAGCCGGCTAGCAAGAGCTGATCCTTGAGCTATTTTTCGTAGGTTTGTCAACAAAAACAAGTCTTCCGGATTTCCTAGATCCAAGGTTGATTCTAGCCGTAAATATATAATAAAGATGTTTGTTTACAACGCTGTCGTTACTCGGTTTCAGGCTGCTCTTGCGGCTCTCGCTGTTGACGACTGGAGAAAGTTGCTTCGCCTCATTTCAAACAATATTTTAAACATAATTTTCCGTTTGTTACAATGAGTTTTTACTCAACTCAAACACGCTCGAGTATTCCTCTCTCGCGTTTCCTCCGCGAACTTACGTTGATCTTCGGCGTATTCTCATCACTTATCACAGCTTTGTTCTTCCTGGGTGGTCTCTTCTTGATTTGCAACGTGGGTATATCGTCCACGTCCGCATTCTGCTTCAATTTGTTCACATAAAGCGATAGAGTACTGTGATGGAGCCTCGTGTGAATCGTATACGTGTGACGCGCGAGTAACCTCACGTGCTCCGGCGGCGGCTTCCTGCGCGTCAGATGCCAGCTCGATGCGATTCTCCGGCACGCGTTGGTGTCGATCGCGCGCTTCCCGCACGACAGAGCGAATCTCTGGATCATCGCGAGACTCATTTTATCGAGGATTATTGTCAATCATACGTGTGTACTTCTTGCCGACTACGTGTTATTCCCCTTCACGTTTGCAAACGTACTCGCACAAACGTCCAATCGCGAGATAAACGTCACCGGAGCAGTTCTTAATGTCCGCGGCACACATGTAACTAATTGTCATCTCGTAACGTGATCAACCGCTAGCATCGTTCGGCGAATTCAAATCACTTCTATTCGCGGTCACTGGAAAGCTATTTCCACCTGTAAACACGTTGTTCGCACGCACGTTCCACCCTTCCACCTGGAGTTCCTTGCACGCACAGAGGTTATGTCACTCGGACGAGTGATAGGTTATACGCTACTCTGTTGAGAGTACTTCTTTTCAGCGAGTCTTGTATTCAGCCGATACCTCGTGTCTATGATGTGCAAATCACGTTCTGATCAATCACATCGGAAGCGAACTGAATTGAAGCAGAAAAAATGAATTTTAACTGGCCGTGTTCCAAAACTCTCTGAATTCTCACTGGAAAGTTATAGGCCGCGTTCCGTTTCACGCATATGCGCGCATTTATATATAGTTCATGTTACGTATACTGTAGAAAATGCGCGCATAATGCCTGAAACGGAACGCAGTCATAGTTTGCGTTGTGACACAAACTATACATTTTCAGTACTGGCAGTGAATTTTGAAATACGGCGCCAATATTCGCGAGCAACTGCAGTGCAGACAGAGTTCTTCAAAGTGTACGATGGTGCAGACCAGTGGTGCGATTCTGTAACTCGTTATTGGAGTTAACGACAGTTTCGTTATTGTTGCGCAGCTTTTCTACGGTATACAAAAGCTGCGCAACGATAACGAAAGTGTCGTTAACTCCAATAACGAGTTACAGAATCGCACCATAGGGCCGTTAAACTCCCGTGTATATTTAGCGTCCAACGTTTGTGGCGCTCTCTGAAATGGGACATTTTTTCGGTGGTACTAAAATTCAATATGGCATCATGTGTCAATGTGTGTGTATGTATAGCTATGCACACATATTAACACGTATGCGCGTGTAGATATATAAGAAATACGAGGAATATTAGTGCGAAGTAAAAATGCAGAAAATAATGTGTATTCTGTGAAATGTATATATTTGACGAAAAAAATATAAATATGTATACATAAAGAAAATATTAATACCTTAAACATAAATATAAGGACAATAATTTGTTAATAATACTAAATTTTATAATATTAAAAGAAATTTGTAATAAAATTGTATATTATCGCTGTCCCTAAAATGGTTGTGGCATACTCATAACTTTTTCTCCTCAGGTCCCTCCACTGGCTCCATTTTCAAATTCTTGAACCATTGTAGCCTACGTTCAGCATTTCGTGGGAATTTATGCGATGGTGCTGTCTTCCCTGTCGAACATCCTGGTACACAACATACTCGTATCATCTTGATCCCGCTGTTATGAGACCTATAAAAAAAATAAACCTGTATTTAGTTAAACAGATATTTGCATCATCAGTATACAATATTACAGTATCATGCATACTCAAATAAAACAAGTTGTTTGTCGCTAACAGGGAAAAGATTTTGGTGGTTCTTGAGTAACTGTTTCTTCTTGTTTTTTCTTCCCTTGTTGAAGTCTTCTTGTAGTCCTTCTGCAAGAGAGAGAGAGAGACAGAGAGAGAGTACATAAATATCTCCATAAATTATATATATATATATATATAGAGTAGATTCCATGAAGAAATTTTAGCTATCTATGCCTGCATGCAGCTCATGTTCAAAAAGCAACCAGCTAATATAACATGATTTGACATTACGTTCAAGGATAGTCATAACATATTCTTCTTGTTTTCAGTCATCAATCTGCTGAAATAGCTCGTTCACAAAGTGTATCAAAATTTTTAGCAGCAGATTAACAGCAGAAACTAAGCACAAACTTCATGCAGGCATGCATCGCTAAGAATTTCTACAATCTTTATCAAACTTGCTCTTATTATGTTAGCATATTGCAAAGCTTACTTTTATTTTTTACTTGTTAGTCTCTGTTAGTAAAAAGTGGACAATTATACTAATGCATAATATTTATATATAAATATAATACAATATATAAAAACAAAACTTACACTTTGGTTGTCGTTACTGGCAGTAATACTAAAAGTTTTTCCTTCTCGCACCTGCTTCTTCTCATGCTTCTTCCTCCTAACACCTCTTCTTCGTAACACTTTTTTTTTTCTTATTGAAGGCTTAAAGCACTAAAGCATTAAAGCGAACGCAACTGTAGCAATATGACGGCCACAAATTAGTTCCGATTTCTCACATGTCCCATCTCAGAGAGCGCTGCTAACGCTAATCATTTTCGCTCCATAAGAGTTTGCACGCCCTGGACAGAGCATAGTATTGCGGAGGGATAACCATTGCGGGACGGTGCGAGGAGGTAAACTGTGCCTAAATCTAATTGGTGGTTGTGCCGTGTGTAAGTCAGTCCCCGTTTCTCGTAGTTTCAAGTGTTCACTTATTGAAGTCGCGGCGCTGGCAACAGTCAACACGGTTAGCATATACAGGGTGTTATAAAAGTTCCGGAAGAGCAGAATAACTCGAAAAATATGAGTCCTAGAAAAAATGCGAAGTACTGGGTTTTTATGATTTTTTCCTGGCTATCTGACGGTGACCTTGGATTTGACCTTGACAATGACCTTGAAGGTCATTCCAAGGTCAGGTCAATTTTTTTAAATGGGACCCTATACTTTTGACCCCAGAAACGAAAAGAGCGGAAAATCTTACGTTCGGATATTACCATGAACAGTGCCAAATTTGACCTCTGAAGGTCACATAAAGGTCTAAGCTTGTTTTAGGCTGAAAACACGAATATCTTCGAAAATGCACCTGCTAGAGAGCAATGTTACGCATAAGAATAAGAATGTAGAGGTCAACGAGGGACATTCAGCCGTGACCTTGCCCTTATTCTCAAGGTCATGAGTTAAGATTATTATTAAGGTCAAACCGGACTTTTTTAGAACTGAAAATCCATACTTTTGACCTAAAAGTGTCAAGATTGAAAAATTTTACGTTCGGATATGACGTTTTCAACCTTGACCTTGTTCTTAAGGTTATGTGCCAGTCACATCAAGGTCAATTAATTTTTTTAGGCTGGAAACACATACTTTTACCCCCCCATAATGTGAAGAGTGAGATTTTACGTTACGTACGAGGTCACACTCCGATTGTTGGTAATTCCTTAAATCGGGCGCCATTTTGGATCGGTCATCTTGAATTTGTAAAATCCAACGTCGGATTAGATTTCAGAAACGACTTCAAAAACTCCTTAAACGAGATCCAATTTTTGTTATTCTTAAACATCGGCCGCTATTTTGAATCGGCCATCTTGAATTTGCAAAATCCGACGTTGGATTCGGTTTTAGCGAGCTCGAAAGTCCCAGGATCAGTACCCGAAAAATTTATTCGCCATCGATAAAGTGTATGCTTCAAGGTTTTTATTTGTCTCGATTCTATCAGTGTCAAATAGATAGTAGATTGTTTTTGAGTTTTCATCGATTTAACAAGTTTTGATGTCATTCTAGTCCGTTTTGAATTATTATCATATTATTATTAACGATCAATGTTACATTACTTATTATTTTTATTTAAAGGTAAAGAAACCAAATTTTTGCAAATTTGTTGTTTTCAATTTCAAATGGCTTCTCTTACAGAGCATGAGAGAGTTTCGTTATTGATGATGAGAGGATGGGGGGATAGACAAATGTCATACAGTGAAGTGAAATTGCTGTTCAATGAAAACTTTCGTAATGAAGGCGAAGGTATTTCAATATCGACTGTATCTTGCACCATCAGACAATTTGTAGAAACTGGGAGTAATAAAAACCGCCAAAAATTTGGAAGGCCAAGGTCCCAAACGACAGAAGAGCGACAATTTGAAATAGCCCAATCATTTGTTGAAAATCCCAGATTGTCAATTAGAAAAGCATCTCAACAGCTTCAAATGAGTGTATTGTCAATTTGCAAAAATCTAAAGACCATTAAGTTCCACCCCTACAAAATTCACCTTGGTCTCCACCATGAGTTGAATAAGGATGATTTTTACCGCAGGGTGCAATTTTCAGAAGTTATGATGCAAAGAATTGATCAGCAACCGAACTTTTTGCATAATATCGTTTTTTCAGACGAAGCGTCTTTTGAAATTACTGGTAAGGTAAACCGTCATAATTTTAAATATTGGGACAACGAAAATCCTCATTGGATGCTTGAAGCACATACGCAGCGACCTCAAAAATTGAATGTTTGGGCAGGTCTTTATAATAATCAAGTGGTTGGGCCTTTTTTTATAAATGACAATTTGAACTCAGAAACCTACCTGCAGCTTCTAACAGACCAAATTGTTCCATCAATACAGGAGATTGTTGGTGATAATTGTGATGATATTTGTTTCCAGCAAGATGGGGCACCGCCACATTATGGACCCATCGTTCGGAACTATTTAAACGATACTTTCTCTAATCGATGAATAGGTAGAAGAGGAACAATAGAATAGCCACCGAGATCGCACGACATTGCACCACTTGATTCCTTTCTTTGGGGCTACATAAAAAATAAAGTTTATTTCACTAAACCTCGTAATCTAGATGAGCTTCAACAACGGATCATAGATGAATGTGCTGCAATACCTCCAGAAATGATGAGGAGTGCGACTGACAATTTGTACGTCCGTTTAGCACACTGTCAAACGGTGAATGGGGAACATTTTGAACATCTCTTGTAATCTCAGGCCGAGTTACAAGATGCTTTGCCTTCGGTGGCCGGGACTAAGTGAACCTTGCCTTCAGTGGTCGGGTTTGAGACACCTTGCCTTCAGTGGTCGGGTTTGAGACACCTTGCCTTAAGTAGCCGAGTTTGAGACACCTTGCCTTCAGTGGTCGGGTTCCGAGACGCTTTACTTTCAGTAGACTTCACGATCAGTGAAATAAAGTAAAATGCATAATTTTGAAAACAAGGTCAAGGTTGAAAACGTCATATCCGAACGTAAAATTTTTCAATCTTGACACTTTTAGGTCAAAAGTATGGATTTTCAGTTCTAAAAAAGTCCGGTTTGACCTTAACACTTTGCCGTCCGCACGTCTCGTAAAAATTTATTCGCTTGGCGCCGGCAGCGCTAATTCGGATTACTTGACTTGTCGCCGGCCGTTCTTGACATTATCGGAAGATTATAAATTGTTAAGTTTTACTAATCTCATCGTTAGTTCTCATAAGTTCTCAACCCTGTTCCCCTACTTTCATGAAATTTCGAAGATATACATACGTAAATAAATACAAAATTTGTTTGTTTTATATATTAGTTTATTTGCATTTTCTTTGGTACTTAGTATTTCTCTTTCATATGATATGCAGCAAAACAGTCTCCAAGATGTAACGCAACTCCACAAGACTTGCACATTAAGTTTGTTGCTCTTCTTTTTTTGTTCTTGGAACATACATGGCAGTTTCTTCGTTTTCGTTTATTCGTTTCGGAAATAAGTATCAGTTGGTGTTGCTTTATGTGACCGGAAAGTCTGTCAACCGGATCATGATGAGACGTACGCGATGTAGTGGCAACCTCCAAGTTTTGCTCAGAAACAGGTACATGGTCTTTTATCCACGAATCAGACACTTTCAATAAAAAATCGTGAAATCGGACGCGCACGACACCACTGTGGTGTCGCCGGCCGTTGACCGCTAGTTCGCGCACGACACCACTGTGGTGTCGCCGGACGGCATAGTGTTAATAATAATCTTAACTCATGACCTTGAGAATAAGGATAAGGTCACGGCTGAATGTCCCTCGTTGACCTCTACATTCTTATTCTTATGCGTAACATTGCTCCCTAGCAGGTGCATTTTCGAAGATATTCACATTTTCAGCCTAAAACAAGCTTAGACCTTTATGTGACCTTTAGAGGTCAAATTTGGCAGTGTTCAAGATCATATCCGAACGTAAGATTTTCCGCTCTTTTCATTTTTGGGATCAAAAGTATGGAGTCCATTTAAAAAAATTGACCTGACCTTGAAATGACCTTCAAGGTCATTGTCAAGGTCAAATCCAAGATCACCGTCAGATAGCCAGGAAAAATCATAAAAACCCAGTACTTCGCATTTTTTCTAGGACTCATATTTTTCGAGTTATTCTGCTCTTCCGGGACTTTTATAACACCCTGTATGTGTAATGTTAAAGGAAAAAGGCTATATGATATAGGACCAGTAAATGCGTTCCTACATATGTTACACTTTCTAAATTTTAATATGTAGTTACATAAATATACTGTTATATGATAGACAATACAATCTGTAACTTCAGGTAGATAATAATACTTTATAACTTATTGAAAGTCCATTCGCTCTTTTCACAATAGCATAATACAAATTTACATGTATATGTTACGAATTCTTACTGTAGATGTTTGATCCATAATAATATATATATATATATAAATTAATAAAAATATATATATATATTTCTTTATAATTATATAATCAAAATGTATAACACAAAATAAAATAGATAGTATAAAATAAGGTAGGTACGTAAATAATAAAGTATTTTTGTTGTTTTAGGATATTTTTTATTTAATTTTTATAATATTTCGCAGTTTTTTAATATTTTGACTTTGATTTTTTTCTCACTATTAATTTTATGGCAGTATTGCCTCATACGCATACAGATGTAAAATTCGATTATTTTTGCTAAAATAGCATCACCATGTTCTTTACATGGAAAAGACAAATTTTCTATGTAAATATTATCTATAATGGTCTCATATATATCAGCACGAAGACAATATTTTGAAAATAAGCTTTCTAAGTAAATTATAAATTTAAACATGTTTAAATTTGGATGTGTTAGACGACCATCAGTTTTGATATTTGTTAACAGCGCCGCAGGAAAAAGGCTACATGCTATGGGATCAATAGCGTTCTTACATATATCACACTTTGTAAATTTTAAAATATAATTACATAAATATCTCGTTGTACAATAAACGATACAATCAGTTATTTCAGGTAGATGATAGTCATGATCTATTATTATATCATCAAGAATCCATTCGCTGTATTCAACAGCATGATCCAACTTGTCTTTTAATTTTGTTAAGGATTTATCTGGTTTTTCATATAACTGTTTTATATCAGATATAGAAATTATAGGTTTTGTCTATCTGTAATCTGTAAAATGTACTATCTGTAATAGAACAATTTCCATAACACGGGGGCTCAAGGATGCTTGAAGTACTCAAAATTTTATATAGTTGGAGAAAGGTAGGGATCCTAGGATGGTCATTAGATCCTGCTGCTTGTCTTATTGAACCAAAAAATCTCTATGTAACAATATATAGAAACATATTAATACTAACTTGTAATAAAAATAATGTTTTAAATATTTCCTATAATAAACGTTCAAAGCTATTACAAAAAATTAAATATTTTTTGTCACAGTTCTAAAATGTATTGTATATATTTTTAAATATATCATAGACTATATACACACAAATACACATATACACACATACACACATTAATATCTGAAAATATTTTAAACATATGAAACGAAAACACATTCAAGAAACATATGTTCAAAAAAGTGAATTGATGGATTGATTTTATAATCAATATTTTAAGATGATCTAATGTTTTTTATGTATGTATTATGTATGTGTGTTCTAACAGTGCAAAGTTTTCCTAGGGACGATCCAAAGATGTTCTAAGTATGTAAATAATGTTAGGATTGGGTATATATATATATATATATGTGTGTCCTTCATAATTAAATGTTTGCATATATAGGCATATATATATATATCCAGTCAACAAAATGACATCAAGTGACATTAATAATTTATTAATGACGCCTTTAATGTCAATAATACATCATTAAGACGTCTTTAGATGTCATTCTGTTATCTGGAGACACATCCCAGCAAATACGATGTTACATGCAACGTACATGTTAATTAAAATTTCCTACTCAACAATGTAGCTATTATGTAACATGTGTGTTATATAACATTTACATGTTAAGTAGGAAATTTTAACTAACATATATATGTTATATGTAACATTATGTTTACTGAAATATGAGCTTTGTTATCAAACCTCGAGTGAATCTTGATTCAAGCGGCCTGTTAAAACAGAGGGAAAACCAGCATTTGTCGTTAAATATTTTATTATATTTAATGTTGATTTTATCGTCACGCGAAGACCTTCAGCAGTTTGTCTCGTTAAAAAATTTTCCTCTTTAATAGTACCACCAAGGACATGTTGCTCCCAAGCATCTAATTTTTCAAGAGATGTCTCTAAAATCTATTAAGAAATTGAACGTTTAACATAATATTAGCTTCTTCAAAATACATAAATATATAGACAAAAAACGAATATAAATTACAAAACAATTATTAACTAATTGAAAATATTTAATTTACTTGGTAGTCCGTGTTTTCAACAGTCAAACCTTCAAAAACTTTATTTCGATTTAGTGCATCAAATAAGTTATTTATCCATTCACAAAAGTTTGCAGTGTTATCACATTCTTGTAATTCAGGTAAGAAATTTTTATAAAATCTCAATTCATGAGACATCGATTTACTAAAAACCTATAACAATGGCGTTTATATAAAGATATATTTTGTAAACTATTGGACTGTTCTATTAAATAATCTGTTAAAATGTTAAATAAAATACTGTTAAGATGTTTTACTTGAGTAGCTAGATGAACTCTCATTTTAGCTGCGTTAGTAAGTATTAAATGATTGGTTGTTATTTATGGACATATTCGCATTAGAGCTGGTAGCGATTTATCTTTATTATATAATATTCGGAAATAATCCCATTTGATATGTTTTTCATCAGGATTGAGCTAAAAATAAAAACGAAAGAGATTAAATATTTTAAATTTTCGCATTGTGAATAAATATTTGACTTGGTTTCCAACTTTGCGCCGCATTCTTTGTGGATTTGTTTTTGACGATTCGTGAGAATTCGTGAGAATTTCATTTCACTTTCTTAGAATAAGGATCGATTTTATATTGAATATATAGAATATCAAATTGATCCTCATTTTCAAGAAATGAAGTAAAAAGTTCACAAAACGTCAAAAACAAATCTATGAAGGACGCGGCATAACGTCAAAAGCTAAATCAAATATAAGAGAAATTCACTATTTTTTAGAAAAACAATAATAATACTTCGATTTTCCGAAATCTCCCTTAATAGTACATTTTGCACGAAGTAACATATAACTACATAAAAATTGAGTTATTATTTTACCTGTAATGATGTACTATATAATCGATTTCTAATAGTTCTGATAAGGTGTGGTGTATCTGAGAATACATATATATAACGTCCGTTTACAGTGGGGTGATTAAAAACATTAATTAAGTCATCCTTTTTTCCAGATACACCAGATACAATATTCCAAAATTTTCTATTAGTTGCAGCACCGTCAGTAATTACACCATGGACTTTAACATTGATATTCTCTAATAATGCAATAGCCTATAATATGAAAAAAATAAAAACAGTATGAAGCATATTATATATTTAGGAATTTTTTGTTGAATTATGAGAAAAATATGATATATATAAAAATATTTGCACTGCATATTGTATATACCTTAATTACTAGTTGCGCAAGTACTTCTCCTGATACAGGCGCCTTGGAAGCAAACACTGCTACTGGTTGGGAATAAAAATCTGCAAGTGGCTGAAACATTATTACTAATCCATGGTCTGCTTTATCATCAAGATTAAATGATGGTATCCCTTCACTTCCAAAGTCAATTTGTAACGGCCGAACTCCGCGGTTCGGTCGCTGCTACGCGTTTCGCGCGGATAAGGCTCGTCGGAGTCCGGATTCGAGGAGGAATAAAGCAGCGGGGCACTTGATAACGGCAATTAAAATAACTTAGTTTTATTGTATGCTTATTGAGATACAAGAGTTCGGCCCCGAAGGCGGTGTCGCGGGTTTCGTCTATAAGGCGCGTCGGTACGGTACGGTGCGGTGCGGTGAGCGGTACAAGCGCTCGTATAAACGGATAGGCCGTGCGGAAGGCGGGGCCTATTACGCGACGCGTGTAGACGGTAACGACGGTAACGATGCGGTGATCGGTCACGCTGCACGACGCTGGGCGTCTCGAACAATTATCGCCCAATACTTGCTTCGAAATCGCTTGCGTATAAATGGTCGCCGGACCGGAGATTTCGATTCTCGGTCGAACGCACGCACGCGAGTCGCGGGATACGCGAAATGATTTCGTCCGTCGGGGCCGAGGACTCTCGACAGAGGAGGCGTACGCACCTTCCCTTTTCCCTACGTTCGTAGAGGAAAGCGACCAAGTGCTGCGGACACTCAGCGGAGACGGCGGACACACCGTCCCAGGTTCTTGGTCGCTAGACGGATCGCCTAAAGGCTGAGTACGCTCAGCGGAGTTCGCCGACGGACGAACCCCTGGCTCAAGGCGGCGGGTAACGGCGATAGACTGTCGGGTACGCTCGACTGAGCACGCGTACACACGAGCCCAGGAAGACGGGAGACGGCCAAGTATCGAGTACGCTCGATCGAGACTGCGGACGCACAATCCCGTTTGCTTAGTCGCCGGTCGGGTATTCGGAATACGGAAAGCAGAGCGAAACGGTCCGGATATTCTTTCTTTCGGCATGAAGCGTCTAGATCGAATCGGCGGTACGGATCGGTCTGGTGCCTAGAAGCTCGATCGCCGCCGTTTTATAGTTGTTCGCGCTAGGATTGATACGGCGGCGATCGAGCGGCGCGCCTATCGGCGCGAGGCACGGTGACGGCGCGTGATCGCGGCCGCGCGCGCTAGCGGCAGCGCGTGATCGCCGCGGCGCGCGATAGCGGCGGCGCGTGATAGCGGCGGCGCGATCGTTTCGGTATTTTTAGGGTGGCGCTCAGCGCCGTTCTTCGGCCCGACAGGTGGTCGGTCGGGCCGGTAGTAACGAGGTGCATCTGCGCCTCGTTACAAATTAACCCTGTATATGTGAGATTCTTAAGCTAAGACTCCATGCATGCGGTGAGCTGCGGCAAACGGTTGCGGTGACCAATCAGGAGACAGACGCATGCCGGAGCTTGCCGCAACCGGACTTGCGCCTCCCTCCTGATTGGTCACCGCAACCGTTTGCCGCAGTTCACCGCATGCATGGAGTCTTAGCTTTAGAGTTCACATTAACAGACTCTCTAAGATGTATTTCATCGAGCAAAATTACACCATGTTTTTGTCTCTCTTCTTTTTTTCCAATGCTAATTTAAATATTCCAAAAAATGTTGTGTCAAAACCGCATGGTGTATCAATAAGTGAAATATATCTAAAAGTCAATTCATATATTGCATTGTTATATAAAAATTGCCATATATTACATACCATATTATACATATTTCTAAGTAGAAATTATATTAAAATCATAAAAAAATGTACGTATATTACCTTTGCATAGTTCTAATACATGGAAGGGGTAGTATTTTATTTTTTCTTAAAAAGTTATAAGCTTTAAGTGACTTCATACGTAATAACATACATAATAGTATCCAATCTTCATTATATCTGTGACCTTTAATATTTGTATGTTTCGCAGCTTTTATTATTTCTTGTATTGCAGTTAACTGATGTTGAGAAATTTGTGTTTCTCTTAATTGGTCTTTTATGTTCTCTATTGAAATTTCTTTTACTTTCATCATATTATCTGCAAGTTCTTTTCTCAATTTATTTGATATATATTTAGCTCTATTTTTTGCTTTTTGTGCTTTATAGTATCGTTTGCGTAATAATAAAATTTTCTTTTGTTTTTCTGTTTTTGATACAGCTATTTTTATTCTTTTAATTGATTTCATTATTTTTCTCCGACGATATTTTTTATTTATAGATTTGTTTGCAATGGCACAAAATTTACATTTCTGGGATGAAAGTAATAAACATTTCTTGTGTCTCCACATACCATTAATATCTTTAAAAGCTTCATTATATTCAACATCTTTAATCTCACTTTTATTTGTACCACAACATATGTCAAGGCTATCAAAAGAAAATAATGTCTCTTGTAGCAGTTCTATTCTATTGATATTATTATAAATCTGTATGTGTGATGGAATATTTAAAACGGGTCGCTTTAAGACATTTATTTGTAATGTCATATCTTCTTTGAGTATGACTTCTTTGATAGAGTTAAATGAATATCTGTCATTATAATTTTCTATTTTGTTGCATGTTGCTAAAAAAAATACCAATAATCGTGTGTCACTACTGCAATATTGTATATGCATCCACTGACTTGGCATATTAAACTGTTTTCTGTTTATACTATCTATTAAGCTATCAAATGATAACATTGTCGTACGATCCTCTATTGTATTATTTAATGATGGTACTATCACATGTTCATTTTCTTCATGTTGTTCAATATGCAGGTCGTGTACATTTTGATCAATAGAATATATATCTTCTATATTTGGGATTTCTTCAAACCAGGGGAATTGTGAAGGCACAACCCCTTTACGTATTGGAATTTTAAATGGCGCAGACTAAAGAAAATATTTACAATATGACAATTAATAATGACAAGTATAAATTACATAATTGTTATTTAAATGATTATTATTTAATAAGTCAACAAGTGAATGTTGCTGTTATATATAAATTATTATATATATAAATTATTAAATTATTATTATATATATAAATTATTAAACATTATTGACTATATTGCCTACTTTATACTTTTTTTTTTGTTCACGCAGGGGAAATCCATCATGGATACCCCCGCCCCCTTGGGGGGGGGTGGGGGTTATGTCGGACTCTTACCGACTAAACCGACCTCTGCGGGATGTCTACCTGTCGGACCGTGAGGAGGGGAGTTAGGGGAACTGCTCCCGTATTCCCTCCCCAACTCCCGGCTCCAGGGCTCTACACTAAGAGCCCCTCGCCTCCTTGTACCGCACCCCCCTTTCCCGTTCGGGGAATTAGTGGGAGGGGCGCGGTCCTTGGCAGGTTACGCCGCCGGTTGGCCTTCTGGTGTCTCCTAGGAGGAAGGGGACATCCACCCTTCCTCCTTATCTCCCCTTTCTGAAAGATTCAGCGGGGGTTGGGGAGGTGGGCCCGATTCCAATCGGATTGTCCACCTCCCATTTTCCCTCCTACTCGATCACTCGGGGGAGTGGGGGGTTTCCCCCTCGCTCCCCCCCCCCTCCGAGTGGCGGAGCCTGGCCGAGGGAGGCGCCGGCCCGTGTAGGCCAGCGGCCTCTCCTCGTCCGATGCTACCTCGGGCCCGCTATTGATTCCCCCCCCCCCGGGGAGTGCCGGCCCCGCCGTCCTCTGCAACGGCGTTTCCCAGGCCGGCGCCTCCATTCGGCGACCTCCTTCTGGGAGATTACCTCCTTGCAGAAGGAGGCCGCCATGTCCCACGCTCTCTCGCTCCCGCACATAGCTCGCACTAGGTGCGGGAGCGAGAGCTCCCCGTCACGGCAGTCCACCGCTCCGAGCAGGACACGGCGCTGCTCATCCCATGCTGCGCAGGCAGCCAGGATATGCAGCGCCGAGTCGTCTTGCTCGGGGCAATGGTGGCACCTTTGCGGTGGGATCCTTTCTTATCCGGTGCAGGTATTTTCCGAAGCAACCATGCCTGGTCAATACTTGCACTAGGTGGAAGGACATTCCACGCCCCCTCCTGTCTGCCACTTTGGACAGACAGGGGCGGACAGCCTCGGCCGTTGCGAGACCGAGCACTCGGGGGTCGGCTAGTGCGCCTTCCCACCACTCCAGGGTCCGGTCTCTGGTCATTAGGGCCTTCAGGCCCCTGGCCGTCAGCTGTCCCCCCTCGCGGAGCTCCTTTACCCGCCAGTAGAGGACGCGCCTCTCCTCGGCTAGGAGCTCCACAGGGGGGAGCCGGTCAGGGTGGTCGCCGCCATGTATGACACTGTGCGGTACCCTCGAATCGCCCTGATCATGAGAGGCCTGAGGGCCTGCCTCATGAGCCGTCTGGCCACCGCAGTGACCTAGATGGGCGCCCCATACAAGGCGATCGAGAGCACCGCACCGACATACAGGCGGCGAGCCTGCCATCCTCGGCCCCCTTGGGTGCGCATCAGCCTGGCTACAGCCAGTCTAGCTTTGCGCACCCTGGGGGCCAGCTGCCTGAAGTGAGGCCCAAATGCCCATCGGCTGTCCAACGTCAGGCCGAGATATTCATCGTCGGCCCGACGCGGACGTGGACGCCATCTACTAGGACCTGGGTCTCCGGCGGCGCCCCTCGACTGCCGTCGTGGAAAAACTTCACTTCAGTGGGAAAGCAGGCCATCGGGGACCTGGGTCTCAAAGTGGCGAAGTCTTGAGGAGCGCCACTTTGAGACCCAGGTCCCCGATGATTCCCACCACCGATGCCACTGCCACCTTCGCACGGAGGCGGGCTTCCCCCCAGGTCTCCCCTTCGGCCACCACTAACGTGTCGTCCGCGTAGCAGACAACGTGGCAGCCGTCGGGGACAGGAGTGCGAAGAACCCGGTCGAAGACGATGTCCCACAGCAGGGGGCCGAGCACCGACCCCTGCGGGACACTGCGCTCCATAGTGCGCCAGCCTTGAACCCCACCTTTTTTCATGAAGGCGAGGTCTCTGTCCCCGAAGTAGGCGGACATTATCCGCCGGAGATAGGCGGGCACCCCGAAGTGCTCGAGGGCCCGTCCTATCTCCGGCCAGGGTGAAGGAGGATCCCGGGATCCTCCGGCCCAGAGGGACCCCGCGGGATCCTCCGGCCCAGAGTGGAGGAGTTAGTCTTAACCGGCCTACGGATGCGAAAACCGGGGCCTTTCTCTGCCGCCAGCTTGCGGAGCTCCTCCGCAAGTCGGTCGGCGGCTGCCCCCGCGGTAA